AGACGACGTTCCACCGCACACATTGACCCTGGTCCACGAGGACCGTCTCACTGGTGCGCCTCACTGCTCACGTTCCGCTGTTCTGCTGCTGACACGGCTCAGATGTCTTGGCCACGTACGAGGAAGTGACCTCTTTCCAGGTGTACAGCCTGGCCCCCTTCCCCAACAAGGTAAACAAGTCATTATGACGCTCGATTCACCATGTTCGATTGGCAGTTTCTGACCTATCCTAGGAATACCAGCTTCTGTCCGACGTGACGCGTGAGCTGTTGCAATACTCTCACGAGGACCCCGTCGCCATGGCCTCTACGTACGGCTCCGTCACGAATCCAAACATGAAGAGGCGCGAGCGCAAGAGCAGGCCGCAGGCCCAGCCGGCGCCAAAGCCCGCCGAGAAGAAAGCCCCAGCGGCGGCGGCGGCGCCCAGCCCGGCGCCCGAGGTCAAGGAGGAGACCAAGCCGGCGGCGGCCAGAGACATGTTTGCCAAAAAGGCGGGCGCAGGTGCCGCGGCGCCGGCCAAGGCTGCGCCTTCGCTTAAGCGCGGCGGCTCGTCGGGCATCATGTCTGCGTTTTCCAAAGCGGCGGCCAAGGCCTCGAAGGGAGGCTCCAAGCCGTCGTCCAACGCGTCCACGCCCAAACCGGTCGACTCGCCCGCGCTGTCGGATGACGGCGAAGACGACGAAGACCCGCTGCCTGCGCCGAAGAGGGCTGCTGCAGAAGGGGGCCGCAAATCTCGACAGGACCGCGAGGCGGCCCTCCGGCAGATGATGGAGGAGAGCGAGGACGAGCCAGAGGACGAGGAGGACAAGGATGAGGAGGAGGAGGAAGCGGCGGCAGACGAGCCTATGGAGGACGTGCACGAGCCAGCGCTCGACAGGAAGACTGACATCCCGGCCAGGCAATCTGAAGAGGTCGTGGCGAGCACAGGCGACGGGCGGCGTCGCGGCAAGCGGCGCGTCATGAAAAAGACACAGACGGTGGACAAGGAGGGTTATTTCGGTGAGTTCTCGCGTGCAGCCGGGGCATGGACCGATGCTGACCAAGACAGTCACGACGCAAGAAGAAGCCTGGGAGTCATTCTCGGAAGACGAGCCCGCGCCTCGAGCGCCTGCACTCGCCAAGGTGGCTGCGGCGCCGAGCTCTGGGACGCAGCCCAAGGCGAAGAAGGCAGCGCCCAAGGGCCAGGGCAACATTATGTCTTTCTTTTCAAAGAAGTGAAGGGTCAGCATTGTTGGCACCCGGAGCAGACACGTCGACACGACAAGATGGATTCCATGGCGCCCACGACGCGCAGCCGAGAGGGGGAACAAAGTTTGGCATGGCGGGCTGGACATGGTCGAATGCTACATGGACACTCGCTGTCTTTATTGCGCCCAATTTCTGCATCTCTCGTGCCGGAGCTGTTGACAGGCACGGGCGACAACGTGTCGATCAGGCGTGCTCAAAAAGGTTTGGACGAACGGAGGCTTCTTGGGAGAGCACCATGTTACATTCGAATAAGATCAAGCAATGAGCCACGGCAATTCCCGGCGGCAGGGTATGATTCGGTGCTCCCTGTGAAGTCTCGGCCCTGACCGCGAAATGATGTTGCCGCTTATATATCGGCCATGGCATTCACAGGACTGGACGGCTTTGGATTGATTCATGCAGAGATGAGATGCGGTGCCGATGAGATGGTGGACGTGCATGGTGGATGTACCGACCTTGGATGTATTCGTACAGATGGTGCAGATGGGCCTGTACTACATGTACCTGTCCTACATGTACATAGCACAAGTACGGTACCTTACCGCAGGTGCTCAACCACGACCGAGGCCCCTGTAAATCAGCCCCTAAACGTGCCAAGTAGCGCGTCCCCCAGACCCGCAGCGGGGTGTGTCCCTGTCACGCGTGCCCCGAGCCTACCCACTGTACCAACCTACATGCACGTGCACATTGCCTGGCATTGATCAGGTACATTTTTGGTAAATGTTTACATAGTACATGGATAAGCTTTCTGGATAGGGTAGTAGAGGTTTAAAGTTGGTGTGCTTTTTCTTTTTCTACATCCTATGTACTATGTACTATGTACATGTACTATGTACATGTACATAGTACGAACAGGTACCTAGGGACCTGGAAACCCGGTCAAGCTTTGGCGGCCCCACTGAACCCAAGGTAGGTACATGCCATGTATCCAGGCAAGCCAGGGAGGACAATGCATGCTGTGGACCATGTGCATGGTTCACCGTCGACGTAGCTTCTGTTCGGCCAACTACCTCGACACCAACAACATGCTTTCGACAACCGCGCCGGCTCATTTCCATGCCACCACGACAGCGACAGCGCACTGCTTTCGCACATACATAAACCCAACACTGGCAGACATATGCTGAAGAGCCAGTGACTTCGGAGAGGGAAATTGCCGGCATGGTTGCTAGCGCGAGGCACTGTCGCCGTACCAGTTCTGAGGTTGAACAAATGGCGTCTAGTCCTAGGCCGCCGTCTCCAGCAATGCAGAGCTCGTGGCGAGCGGGCCCGACCAACTCCTTGACTAGCTATGAACCATACAACCCCGGAGGGTCCCTCGATCATCCTCAGCACTCTGATGGTAAATTACGAAAGCGTGATTTCAGCAACCGTACTCGAACGGGCTGCCTGGTTTGCCGCAGACGAAAGAAGAAATGGGACGAACGAAAGCCAGAGTGTAAGCACAGTTCCTAACTTAACGTGTACCTCGGGTTTCCATGCTGACTGCAATCAGGCCACAATTGCATTCGTAGCGGGGTGAACTGCCCTGGTTACCCCCCGCAAGAGGGCACTTGTCGGAGGGTTCAAGTCCGGAGGACCTCGGGCATTCCGCTAGGGCCCAAAGACTTCAGCTGTGTACCGCTGGATCCCTACGGTACACCGCTACAGAGCACTGAAGCGAAACTGCCCGTGGAACAACAGAGGCTAGACACCTTGCCGTGGGACGGCCAAGGACACATGGTGCGGACTAATCCATCTCAGGGGTGGTCGCCAGTCCATGACGACAACAGACACACGCCATCCACCATCCATGGTGCAGTTGCCCCACGCCCGAAGCTCCGTCCGCTGCTCCCCACACCAACAAACCCTCTCCCAAGCCGTGTCAGCAGTCAGGAAGTTCCACAACAGGCTGGCATGGGTAATTGGAAGGGCTATGAAAATGCTGTGGGCGCTGTGCCCTCTCATCAAAATGCCATGACGAGTCACGCAACCGACAGACGCCAAACCTTGACGTCAGGCCAAGGATCAAGACAAGATACTGGAGACATGGAAATGCGTCAGCATGATGTCGAGATGCGAGTTGTTCGCCGTTCAAGTTTAAACTTAGAGGTAAACCATGGGGGCACACAATTCTCTCAACACTCTCTCAGAACGGGCCAGGATAACGGTTCTATTCTGTCCGACATGCAACTTGCCGCAGCAGGAATATCTAGCAGCTCATACCCAATGTCTTCAATGACCGGTTCCAAACGGTGGCCAAACTTGGCTACGGCTCATCCTCCACCATATGGCTCGCGCGCGACCTGCAGTAAGTAACCCTTCTAGTCGGGGTGTGACGATTCGCTAATCGCCCAGTATAGACATCATCAGTATGTAGCACTAAAAATCTACATCCACAACTCGGTCCAGCACCGTGAACTGCCATTCTACGAGCACCTGGAAAAAGTCCCCCCTAGCCGGCACCCCGGCGCCAAAAACGTCAGAAAGCTGCTCGCTTCTTTTCAAGTAACCGGCCCCCATGGCAGGCACGTCGCGCTTGCTCTTCAGGTTTCTCAAATGAGCATCCGCGACATGGATACGGTGTTCATGAATGGCCGCGGATTTAACGAGGGATTTGTGAAGGGAGCTGCCAAGGAGCTTCTTGAAGCGCTTGATTTCCTGCATACCGAGGCGCAATGCGCACACACTGGTAGGTGCATACTCTCCTCTCCCATCGTTCACATGCATATGCACATACGAACACGCCGATCATCGCTGCTGAGACGAGATCAGATGTTCACCCGGGCAATCTGCTGCTCGGGACAAACGACGACTCCATCTTCCAGAAGCTGGAAGAAAATGAGTTCTCGAGCCCCGTCCCTCGCAAGCAACTTGAAGACCGGACCATCTACCTTTCCCGCCTGATGAAGCCCAAGGCCGGGCCACTACTGCTTTCTGATTTTGGAGAAGCTAGGCTCGGCCCTGGTCCCCATGCCGGCGACATCATGCCAATCATGTATCGAGCCCCGGAGACGCTTTTGTACATTCAATGGGGCTATCCGGTCGATATCTGGAGCGTGGGACTTACGGTATGTGTTCATATCAAAGTTGCAGTTCCACCAACGGAGCCACTAATCACTCCCTCTTTGTCTTAGGCGTGGGATCTCCTTGAAGGAAAGACGCTGTTTAGCGCCCGCAAGGAGGACGGCAGCTTCTCGGACGGAGCTCACTTCGCCGAACTCATTGCAGCACTCGGCCCACCGCCTCCAGGGCTTCTCAATCGGCATCGCAACAGAGCGCTCGAGTACTGGGATGAACATGGTACGCATAATGAAAGCCGACTCCGTATTGAATTTTTCCAACACTTCTAACCATTCTGTCTGCTCAGGAAACTGGAGCGAGTTTGTGCCTATACCGAAGGAGAGGACTCTCGAGGCAGCTGAAACCAAACTCGGGGATAATACCAAGTTCCTCCAGTTCATTCGAAGAGCCCTTGCCTGGGATCCGGACGCTCGCCCCACAGCGAAGGAACTTCTGCAAGACCCGTGGTTGAAGGACTAGGCTAGGTTGCCGAGTTGCTTCATTATTCCATCAATACCCCAAACGTTCTACGACTCGGTAGAAACGGTGTATATGTAACGAGATTCTGTTGCGCGAAACCTGGCGTTCTAGACACAACGCAGCCACCTCCACTTATCCTGTGATGGCGAAGCTGTGAGTGAGCATACACCAGCTGCAACAGTCCGGACTGGAGCTGAACATCCCAGGTCGGTATACTTGGGTTATTGTGGGTTCAGGTCTCAACGTGGAGATCGGAACTGCTCAGTGCTGTGAGCCTGCGGCGACGGCATTGTGCGTTACGGGATGACCATTCGCGGCTGCGCAGCTGTTCCACGTCCATATCGTTTTGGTAACTGCCCGCAATCCAGGTGAACCGCTCGATTGAGAATCCTGCATTTGTCTTGTACAGCGCTGGTGGTCGACAGGCCGAGAGCGATACTGCGAGCGCCTTGGCTACGGTCGAGTCAGGGTTGTGGCCGTGCTTGCGGTGTGCTCGGCGACTCCGTTTGAGGCACCGGGAGAGGGACGAGAGCGCGGAAGCCTCGTGCGACGGTCGAGTTCTTTCAAGGCTCGGCCTGTCGGCTCGATCTTGGACAATCTGTCCCAAAAGTCGGGGGGATATTCGCAAGACGACCAGGCGCCGAATCCTAGGTCGGTTCTCGACTTGATGGGCTTCACCGCAGGCTCTCGGGGGAGAGGTCGCCTGTTCGTTGCCTTCTGCGCTTCTGCGGCGCCATGAGCAATTGACGGGCTTCGAGAGCATGATACGAGCGGAATCGGGGTTGATGTAGGCAGGTTGCCATTGATGGTCGCGTTTGAGCAAGGGAGGTGCGGGAAAGCTCTAGCCAACAATTAGCCGCCTGGGACGTAGGTGGTTGGCCAATTATAACTACTCGTGCTACGCCCCACTTATCTCAGGTTTCGCTTTGGCTCACCCTCATAAGAGGGTGCTCACTACCCATACGGGCGCACCACCCATACGGGCATGTACCTCACATACTACTTTACACGGGAAAGTGACTTGAACTTACATTCCTAGATATTATTCTCTAACGCTATTATATAACTTTAGAGAAAAGTTCACCATATAAAGATGGATAATCCGAGCTAGTTTAAGCGCCTGGTATGATTTATTAGACTGGAATCTATGGCGTGGATTAGAAGTTGACTTTGTGGTAGAATAGTTTGGTGTGTTGCCCGTATGGGTGGTGCGCCCGTATGGGTAGTGAGCACCCTCTTATGAGGGTGAGCCAAAGCGAAACCTGAGATAAGTGGGGCGTAGCACGAGTAAATTAATCCGTTCCGTCCCGTATCTTTCCCATCTCGTCTAGCCCTTAATTACATAAGTGCCCGCCTGAATTTTCACCTGGGCATCTCATGGTTACAGGTGAGTTTTTGTGGGTGACAGTCCAGGTGCCTACGAAGTAAGTCACCACCCCCAATCTCTGCGCCCCCCCAATCTCTGCGCACCCCCCCCCCCGAACAGGAGTCACCGTTCGCGCTGAAGAACGAGGAGGTGGGAAAATCATTTAAATAGGGGGTGGTAGAGGAAAAATTTGGGAGAAATACAAATTTAGAGGGGTGGTTCACTCTACAATAATAGAAGCCTTTGGGGGCGATGAGAAATGTAGGGTATGTCGGACACGTGGACATAGTAGACCCTGCCGCGCACGCAAGAGGAGATAAGAGGTA